TCCTCTGATTGAGTGACTTGGTTTTGTTTGGCCAGTTGTGTCTGTCTGGCTACGGCTCACTCCATTACAAGTCTAGATGACTAATTAATGGTCCCGGGACAGGTGACACCGGCTCCTCAAGATCCATTTACACCCTCATCACCACAAGGGCTCTGACTGGGCTCAGCTGCACTTTTTCACTTCTCCCTCAACTCCATCCTCTCTTCTCCTCGCTCATCCCCTCATCTCTTATTCATCTGGTGGTGGAGTACTGTTTAAGGAGCAGGTCTGCGGATAGACAGATGGGCAGATTGAGAGATAGATGGAGCAGACAAATAAAGGTACGGACTGTATTTGGGTTGGGAGAGAGACAGAAAGAGCAAGGAGGGTGATGTGAAACTATTTTTACTGTTTTTTTTAAAAAAAGTTGAGTGAGGTATTTTGCAGTAGTTTGTCCAGAGGGGAGATAGATGAAGCCTGACTCCACCTGCCTGCGAGCCCAGCACACCCACACTTACCTCTGAAGAGTTTTATTTGGGTCAGATAGTATTAGACCTCATGTGAGAATGTGTGTGTGTGTGTGTGTGTGTGTGTGTGTGTGTGTGTGTGTGTGTGTGTGTGTGTGTGTGTGAGTGTAAAGGACATTATTCACAGTTGCTACAGAGTCCTTCAACTTTTCAACCCAGCTGCTTTTTCAAGTGATGGACACTATCAAACACACACACACAGTGCAAGGAGAAAGATTAAGAACATTTTAGATGAAAATACTGTTACCCATGAGCACTCTGATGTACCACAGCATGTCCCCTGGCACCCATCTAATGGACAGAAGCAGTATAAGTGTGTGTGCCTCTAGCCAGTAATGATCCTGCACATACAAAAGCTCCATGAGTCACTTTCATAGTTAAGAGAGTTATGTCTCTATAGAGAAGGAAAGGAAATTTCACTTTTATTAAAGCTTAAAGTCCTTTTCATGCAAAACTTAAATGAACATTGCTAATCTGTCAAAGGTAAGAAGAAACGGCAGACTCCATTGAAGATGTAATACTGTAACTACTACAGTATGTCAAACTACTTTCTCCTTCCCACAGTATTAAACAGACCGCTCTGTTATTTAAAGGTCATGATTTTAGAAGGGTTTCTGAATGCAGCAAGAAAATGGTTCAAGCCTTACGGTATATAATATGCAGTGTAATAGAACAGCAAACTCAAACTCCTGCTTCAAACATTAATATACAGTGCAGTTGTTTATGGTATTGTGTCCATCCCCACCTTATCCATAAACAATAATGTAATGTAGCTCATTACAACACATTTTTGTGTCAACATATGTAAATGTCTGTTGTGTCAATAAAGGTGCTACATAATTTTTAGGCTATTTTATAATGGCGCATCTTCACACAGCAGTCTCTGTGTGTGATATTGGGCCAGAGAGATGATCAAGGTGCATATAATGTCTCTGATAGCCTAAGAGTTTGGGTAGAGTCATGCTGGGAGATCTGCACCTACTTTACCAACTATCCTGTGCACTGTGGTACCCTCAGGCCTTGAAGACTGTTTTTACATGCTGTATATATGCTTGTGTCCTTAACTTGGGCCATAAGTCCAGCATGTGTCAGTCATGTACCAGCTGGAGGGAGGACGGAGGACAGATCAGCTTGGCTGTTAAAACAAGGTTAATGAATGACGAATGACGCGGCAAGGATGAAGGAATAAAATCTAAATGTGAGAGTGGACAGCAGGAGCAATTTGCAGTGGACATATACTTCTACACATAGCACATAAAATGTAATCATGCTCATGTACAAAAACAGTATGCAGCTGCTAATTTAGCACCGAAGCTGGCAGAAATAACGACACACCTGAGGATAGGAGGAAAACTCGCACGCCAAGGTTACTGGCAACTGGTCGCACACCCACAAGTTTACACACACATACACATACACACACTGTAGTCAGGAGATAGGGATGGGCAGCCTTGAGTAAATCAATTACGAGGTTCAGTGTCAAGTTGAAGGCCAAGAGGAGGGCACCATAACAATATCCCAGCAACGGCCTGTGAATAGCAGCCACCACTAAATCAGCTCTCTGCACCGGCAGATAGAGTGGACACCTGTGGAGCAGGCGAAAGGGTCCTAAGAGGAGAAGAGGAGGACTGAGCAGATGTCCTTGTTTGTTTGGAGGAAGAAATACTATCCCATATGCCTTAATAGGCAAAACAACCTGACATTAATATGGCCCTTTGTGCTTATCGGGAGCACCAGCAGTAAGGCCATTCTCCATCATTCTCTATCTCCTTTCTCATTGTCTCTCTGTCTCCCAGTGTCTATATTTACATCCCAACCAAAGCCATTTCTGTCCATCCGTTCCAGATTTAGTGCTCTTGGGCACGACAGCAAAAGTGCAATCAGCTCAAGACTCCCTAGTGCCATGGCCCCTGTTTTATACAAACAAACACTAGTACTAAATGGCTTCTATGGGTCTTATTGTCCTTTAAAGGAATGGTTTGTCATTTTGGGAAGTGCACTTATTTGCATTCTTGCTGAGAGTCTAATATGTGCTCCTTTTAATTTATGATACCAGTAGCATCACTGAGTCAGTTGGGATTCTGTAACTTTGTAACAAGAATGGACATACTGAATATACACTATAGTGTATAAGTATGCGGTCTGGGGTATATGGAGTTTTGGTCTGGGAGTGTTTTTCATGGTTTGGGCCCCTTGCTTCCAATTAAGGGAGATTTCAATGTTACAGCATACACTGAGATTTTAGATAACAGTGCCCCTCCAACTTTGGGCCCATGTCCAAAAAGAATTGTTTTTTCCAGTTTGGTGTGAAAGAATTTGCCCAGCCTCCACCTCATCCAACACTCTCAGGATGAACTGAGACCCGAAGAGGTTATTTCCTAACACCTCTTTCAACACCCTCAGGATAACTGAGACCCGAAGAGGTTATTTCCCAAAATCAGTTCCTAACCCGTGCTGCTGTGGCTTTCATGGGTGTAAAGCCCTGCAACCAGGTTCCAAAATCTTGTGGAGTGGAAACTGGTGTAGCAGCTGATTATTGGCCAGGGTTTTAGAAAGAGATTGTAAACAATCATGTTTGGGATGTCCTCATACTTTTAGCTTCTGAATATAACTGCGTATATAAAGCTAACCCTGTGAGACTAGCATATACTACATTTACTAAACAAGCCAGTTACTATACTGTATACACTGTACTTTTGACTTTTCTGTGCAGTTTCAAAGAAATGTCATCATAAGCCTGAAGAAAACTGAAGGCTTTGGACATAATAAGCATGCACACAAACACACAACACAAAAAAAAAACACACACACACACACACACACACACACACACACACCATGGTCTTTGTCTTGGTGTGTGCTCTCACTCAGCCAGCAAACACACACACACACACACACACACACACACACACACACACACACACCACAAAAGAAGAAAGAAAGAAAGAGTGAAAAAGAAGAACAGTTGTGTTCATTGTAACCATGACCAGGTGTCAGTGGGGATGTTCAATGACAGCTTACTGTTACTCTGCATCTGCTCCAATTAACTAAACCCCAAATGGTTTGATTTGAACTTTTTTTGTCATCCTGAAAGTTATTTTTGTATCCTGTGTCTTTGATAAACAGGACCACACACACGTGACAGCGAGGAGTGGATACTGTTAAGTAGTATTTGTCCTTCATTTCTTAACCATTTCCACCAAATCGTTCTGTTTTTAAACCTGTCCTCACTTCACTTTCCTTCCCCCCTTCTTTATGCACTTAGAACTGACTGCACTGCTCTGCCATTTGGAGCTCTACATGGTGCTGAACCTCTCATTGTCTCTTCCTGTCTCCTTCTTTATTTCTTTTTCTTCCTCAGTTCATGTTGTGTTTGTTGTCAGTTTAAACAACTAAGGCTTACTCCTTTTTTCTTCTTTCCTTCCTTACATCTTTCCATTTGAAGGCTTCTTCTTTCCTTGTATCCTTTGGGCACAGAACAACAGAAGTTACTTATTAGGAGGTACTGTAGTGCTCTGTGGAGCTGTCCGTGGTGCTGAACCTCTAACTGTCTCTCTTTCTATGAGCAGACCTTCTTTCTCTCTATCTCTCTTTCTTTCTGGCTGACCATTAACATACTTGATTAAACTGATAAAAACTCCATCTGCTTCTGTCTTATTTATGTGTCCTTCATAAACCACTTTGTTCAGCTCAGCATTATGTTGGTTGGTGGAGTCAAAATATTGTCACCATTTCCATGATAAAACATGCACTATACCATGGCGCCTTCAAGACACAATATAGCTCAATTAGGAGATAATTCACTTCACCCTCATTACTTCCAGGCTTAAATGTTTCATCTCCTTGTTTCCGGTTAAGTAATGAGAAACCAGTCCCATGTCCTAGTCCAGCACCACATGCCCCATGCAAATTTCAGTGTTGGAAGCGGTGTATGTATTCAAGCTTATTGATTTGTTTGCCAACTCTATACTGTAGACGTGGAGAGCGTGACCAACTCCCTGAAAGCGAGTTTTCTTTCTTTCGAAAAGGGATCAATGACCCTAGGCCCCATTAAACTGGCTACACTGGCCGCACATAATTAAAGCAACTGATTTGCAACAAACACAATGTGCCATAAATTAGGGCTGTAATAATGGAAACGTGGCGTGGGAAGGAAACAACCAACTTTTTTGAAGTTTAAATTAACCTACAGCCATCTGTCGTGATAAATGAGCTCATTTTCATTCAAACGCAACAATACACTCAGGAGGGTGTCTTTAGTCAAACCAACATGTGGCCATTAAAACCATTTAACTCTTTCACATATCTGTAGTAAATTGCCTTCTGTGTTAATCCTATTTCCTATCAAAGATAATAACTATATAATAGGATGATTTGGGAGTACTGTCGCGTACATCTCTCTCTCTCTCTCTCTCTCTCTCTCTCTCTCTCTCTCTCTCTCTCTCTCAGTGACAGGCGTCAAAAATACCACCAAGGGAGCGCAGATCAGCAGCTTTCCACTCAGCCACACTCCGCTGTTGTCCACCGTCCGATGCGTAAGTATCCCACAGAAAACTCATCTTTTCTCCAAACGGAGACGCAGAGCGCCGAGATGACCGCGGAAGGCGCGTTTTTTCTATCCTGATGGTTCAAAGTAGCAGGTGCCGGACTGATTCGACTTTATATGCCTGAGAGGATTGTAGTCGGTCGCCTTCTTTGCAAGACACATCGGCATCGACCTGCTTGGAGACTAAAATGAGGGAGAAGATGTGGATATTTCGGAGTGCAGACAATTCAAAGTGTGTTTTTTTTATTTGGAATCAGTGGTGTTTGTGTTACGCAGCCGTGGTGTGTTTGCTGTTCTCGCCTGTCAGGATGGATGACGCCTGCCCGTCGTCCTGCATCTGTGCCAGAGACTCGGGGACAGTGACCTGTCGTGATGGGGAGGACTCTGACGTACCAAGAGACATACCGGAGTGGACGTCCACCTTGATACTCAAGGGAAGAAACATCTCAACTTTACAGCGCGGTGCGTTCATGATCAACGGCACGGAGTTGGAAATGACAACACTGTCGTTGTCCTATAACGGGATACAGGCAATTGAACCTTACGCCTTCCTGGGACTCACCCGGTTGCATTTGCTGGATCTGAGCCACAATCAGTTGGAGTCTATCTCGGCCAGGGCTTTCCACGGGTTACTAGAGCTGCGCTCTCTTTACCTAAATCAGTCTATTTTAGCCCCGGCCACGACGCAGCTCTCCAATGCGCTCAGCACACTAAGTTTACGCAACCTCCACAGGCTGGAGTTGGCGGGAAACAGCCTGAAGTCCATACCCCTAATGACATTAGATATCTATAATCTGCACGCGTTAGTGCTGATAAATAACTCAATAGAGAGCATGGAGTGGGAAAACGTGACCAATTTGTACCAGCAAAAGCGCTTACGCGTCTACTTGTCTTTAAACCCGTTTCGGTGCAACTGTGAACTGGAAGCGTTTTACTACTGGTTGAAGAACTCATCCCAGTGCCCGGATGCAGGGCGTCTCCTGTGCAGCGAGCCGGAGGGCAAGAGGGGGATTCCCGTGGAGAGGCTCCGGAGAGAGGACGTGGATTGTATGAACGAGAACCTTGAGGCGGTTTCATACGTGTTCCTCGGTATAGTGTTGGCTCTGATTGGGGTGGTGTTTCTCATGGTGCTGTATCTCAACCGTGGGGGCATCAAACGGTGGCTCAACAACATCCGAGAGGCGTGCCGAGACCAGATGGAGGTCTACCATTACCGTTACGAGCAGGACTCAGACCCGAGGCTGGCCAACGTGGCTGTCTAACCCCTCTGAAACGTCCGACCAGTGCTGTAGAAGCAGAGGACAGGGGATCCGAGCTGAAAAAGTACTTCATCTAAAAGACCCTGGTAGTGTCCTGTCACAATCAAAATCAATAATTTAAAAAAAAGTGTAACTTTTCAGCAGCTGGCCAATGAACTGGGATATGCAAAGAGCCAAAGACACTTAAATAACAAAGATACTGTTATTGTATATATTGTACATAAGTATCTCCTCAAGACAAGAATGCATTTCATGCATCATGTCAATTTGCAGTCTGCAGCAGTTTGTCAGACTAACTTAGTATTATTTATCTTATTAACCAAGTGACAAATATACAGTGACGGTATGAAGCTTTCTAGTTTGAAAAGCTGGAATGAAATGGTGAATCAATGTGATTACTGAAAACTGCAGCCCTTGCAAACGGCTGAAAACTAATAGTCTGCATTCAGGAAACCTTGCAGGGAAAACAAGATATTCCTGTTTCTAATCTACTGTGGGAGGGAGTGCATAATTCAAAGGGTGAGAGAGAAAAGTGGTAGAGAAGGGGGCTGGGGCAGGTAAGATGAGGAAAGCATGTTTGTTGGAGTGCCATGGTCATGCAAGCAGGCGATGCTGGAGTAAACTGTCATGTTTAATCATCAACCACATGGCATAAGTTGTCTTTACACAGGTGTATCCTTTGAACACCAGATCGGTTTATCAGTAAAGGGGCTAAAACAGAATCTAACCATGCATGTGATTGTTGTAGGCGTAGAAAACCAACTAAAACATCAATAAAAAGGTCAAATAAAAAAAAAAATAATGGTGCGTTAGCAGTGTTCTTTATGTCAGTATATTTTATCATCACTGTCAGTAAACTTCATGCAGCGGTTTGCTGGACATTAAACAGAGGAAATGTTTCCCTGTTATTATTTAGAAAATGAAAAATGGAAACCAGCCAAGCAGGTGTGAGTTAATCTAATCCAATAAAATGCCACATTGTCACCACCTCTGGGCTCCAGAAAAGGTCTCGACTATCTCATCTGCTTCTTTTTTTTAAAGCACCAAAGAGTGCAAGGCTGGCAGGGGTCTGCATGGCGAGATATTACTGAAAGGCATGGCAGCGTTAATCTCATCAGCACTGTGACTAATAAACCGTGGAGAATGATGATCGACCTGTGAAGTCAGTATCTCTCTATAGCCTGGAGCTCATCAACCCTCTTAACTGAAGGTCTACATTATGACCACAAGGTCAAGCATGAAAAGCTGGAGAAAAAAGCTTTGTGTGTGTGAGCATATTCATTTAAATATGTTAATGAGTGAGTGCAAATGATGCACGTTAGGCAAAGAATAGATGAAAGTGAAAACGACAAACATATTTTTGTGATACAGGGATCACAAAAAGGGATTTTCATGATAATTAATTGTTTAGGTATTAATTAGCCTCTCTTCTTATGTAATTAAAAGGTTTGTGCATGAACACTGGCTGACAAAACTACCCAGAATCAGTGTAAATTCACAGGCTTTCACTCGCTTGTAAGTCATAATAAACCTGATTAATACACCAGAGACATTACAATCAGTAGAGTTGATGTACAATTGTGTGACAAAAAGTGTAATGATGAGACACTTTAAACCACACAAACATATCAAAAAATAACACATATTACAGTGTCATATATTTGTGCATTTAAAAACATTCAATAAACAAATAAATAGATAGATTTTCCACTTTGTGCACTCTGAGAGTATTTCACTATGTCAGCAGTGTACGAGCCGCCTTTACATAACAGTAACATCAAAATGTGAGACATTGTCACTTGATATTAGGTGACATGACAGTGTACCATAGACTGTCATGTTGTATATGGGGGCCGAGGTGTAACAGGATAAAAGTATGTTGACATGACTAATTTTGACATCATACACTTAATGTATAGTCACAAATGATTCTGAGAAATTTTCAACGGGGGTCCATACCGCTAAAGGACAGTGTCTTAGGACATATACAACAGAGATATAAATAAAGAAACAAAACGAACAACTGAAACACCTACTTGTGTGTGAGTGGGTCAGAAAATGTATCTACAAGGACGGGACTGAAACAAACTTCATATGGATTACACATGACAGTGTGTGAAAAATATGTTGTGACAGTGGCTGAAAAAGTTGGAAGAGTGTGTGTGCATGTGTGTTTTTGTGCTGTATATGCATGTCCTAGCTAACCAGAGTCTACAGCAACACTAGCAGTTCTGTAAGAGTGTATGTAGACACACTGGTGCTTCGAGCTAAATGCTAACATTAGCGTGGTGACATGCTCACAGTGAAAATGCTAGCATGCTTGTGGCATGTTTAGCACATATAATGTTCACTATCTTAGTTTAGCGTGATAGTATGTTAACAATAGCAAATTAATACTAAACACTAGGGCTGCAACGATTAGGCTAGTAGATTAGTTTTTATAACCAATTCATTGTTTAAGTTATTTTTCACTCAGAAATGCTGTTTTCAGCCTCTCAGATATTGAGATTTCCTGCTTTCCTTTGTGTTATGTCATATTCAACTGAGTATCTTAGGGTTTGGGACTGACTAAACAAGACATTTAAAGACATCTCCTGGACTTTGACAAATTGGGATGGACATTTTTTACTAATTTCTGAAATTTTATAGATTGAATGAATACCTGATTAATCGAAATAACTGGCAGATTAACACAAGAATAGGTGAGGCTGATTGGGATGTCATTAGTTTCCCAAGTATTTGATCAAAAACATTTTTGACTAGATGATTGACAATGAAGGTCTTTACAAAAAGATATTTCAAAATAGTGGACTGACAAAGCAGCTGACAGGCCGAGATTCCCCTCCAAAGAGCCATGTCACTGGCTGCCTAAAAATGAAGTCTCTAGGCTTAATCTAAACAGTCCACTGTTGATGTCCAACCTGTAAATGTCTACAATGTGCATACTCTAATGTGACTGTGTCAAAATCACTTGTTTGGTTAATTCTTAGAATTCTGGGTTAAACTAAGATATGGGTCAGCATCACATATCACCAAATAGTGAACACATATATTTCTGTGATCTAATAATTAACTAATTGAGATTGGAGTAATTTTGGAAAATAGTTATTGTAAAATTCCTACACTATGGTTTCACTGGAATCACTTATAATAGTTGTACAATTATATTCATAATTGACAACAATGTGTTTTAACATTTGTGGATAGAAATCTAATCGGGGCATTATAACATGCTGGATGCCACAGGGTTCTATCCTTGGACCACTCCTATTCTTCTTTTATATTAATGCTGCAGCATCATCCTCCATGTTCCTCACTTAATTTTTACAGATAATACCAATTTATTCCTCTTGCATACACATTTTTCTGTACTTATAGCCAAAGTTAAAATGTCACATTAACATAAAAAATAATGGGTTTTTTTCACCGTTGGAAATTACCCAACTACCCAGATCCACAAGGTTCATTGGAGTCCTGATTGATGAAACTCTAAGCTGGAAAAATCATATTCAGTTTGTTTACAATAAAATATATTTACAGAATTGCCACATTTATCAGAAGTGCTGAGAACTCGGCACCTATCATCAGTCAGTTCAATATTGTATCCATTTTTTAGCATAAATATGTATACAAAACCTGTGTTTTCATTTGCATCTGCCTGCTTTTCTTTTCCAGGCTTTGTGAAGTACTTTTCCAGCCAAACTGTGATGTACATAACTATAATATGAGACAATGTTCTGTACTGGGGTCTGTCAGTTCTCTATGCGATATAGGGGATCTCAGCTATAAATAGTTATATTCAAATTGCATTTCAGTCTACCTCACTCAAGAATGTTAAATATAGGCTTTGGTCCTGTCTGATAAACCAAGCTGTCTGAACTGATCATATGTGACCATAACTGACCCTTTTCTATCTTCTGTACACGTGCGCACACACTCACATACTTTGCATTAGTCGGCTGAATCGTTCTACACCTCATATTGCAAACACACACATACACTAACGCACACATAGTCTCTCTACATTATTTTTTATTTATGTTGCTTACTTTATGTTTTCCTTTTGAGTCTATGATTTGTGGGTGACATGACTTTTGTGTCTGCTTATAATGTTTATTCCTTTAAATCTAACCTGCACAATTTGCTTCTTTTCTTTTGTTTGAGGTTCTGCTGTTCTGTTTTATTGTAAAAATAAATCTAAATTTGATAATAAAATGAAATAAAATCAAATGAGTGTTGCCATCAAATGTGTGAATTGGGCACAAAACCCAAGACATTAAGATGATAATTTTATCTTGAACAGAGACAGAATGAAACAAAAGGAGAGAGCCTTAACTTGCATGCTGTTTCAGCACAAGTGTTGGGATTAATGGTTATGTGCTGTACTCAATATCTGGAACTCTCTGGCCTCAAAAAGTCAAGAAACACTGGCACACAAACCAAACACACACCACACACAGTCTTTGTCCCTCTGTTTATCACAGTTACATTTTCTACATTTCTCTTCAGCAACTTTGCCCATATGTTCATTTAAATGTGCTGACTGTGACTGATATGTAATGATCTTTCCTCTGTTATTTTAACAGTCTTCAAGCTGCCTGCCTTTTCTGCCATCTTCTCTCTCTTTCCACTGTGTGGTATCTCTCGTTCTTCAATCAGCTTTTTCTACTTTTTTGGATGTGTCTCAAAGAGGTAGAAACAACACCATGTTCTGTTGTTGCCCAAAACTGAACTTGTCTTTATTTTCAGGCTTCAACTCTGCACTCGCTGTGCAATTCTCTTGGCATTGCTCCATTTCTTTGTTCTTCATCCATTTTGCTACATTCTCCTTACAAATACAGCTCTTGTCGAAGACATCCTCTCTGCCCTCCCTCTCTCTGCCTATTCCCCTCTCTCGCTCCTCTTCAGCCAGGTAAATGACTTTATTCAGTTGAGTGACTTTGTAAGGACGCAGGGACAGGGTTTAGGCTGAGCCCAGCAAAGAGGAAGAACGCAAAAAGAAAGATAAAGAAAAGGGAAGTAGAGAAAAGATTCATTAGAGTTTTTTAGTCCAGGCACCAAATGTCCTTGCCTAATGCAAAGCGATGACTCATCGTCTTGCTCTATATTTGAACGTCTGGGAGGCCAAAGCCTTACTGCAAACTAGAGGAGTCTAAATGGAGGTAAAAATGTGATGCTGCTATCAAAAAATTCAATCATATCTGAGCATCTAAACTCCAGGACAGTTTTTTTAAATGGCCTCCATAGGAACACTATCACCATGATGAGTTGTCTGAGTGTCTGATGTCTCACAGCCCATCAGCCACTGATTGAATAGTATGGTTACCTTTACACATGCATGCATCACTAGGTGTTGCAGACTGAAGGTGCAGTGAAGTCACAATGGGTGCAGTCACACATAACCAAATGTAAGTGAATGTTTGTTGGCTGCCCATTGATGTCCTGGAAAACAGAATGTGAGAAGTCCACAATGTGACATATGGAAATGAGTCTGCTAGTTCGTAGTTGTTACTGGTTATTGATTGCTGGACGTGCCTCTGCTGCTATCTGAAGATAAGGAAAGAGGGTTTGGCATTGTGGGACAGGAGAAGAAGAGGTGTTGATGTAGACAGGAGGGATCACATCAGTCTAAAACACTGCTGAAGTAAAACTCTACATGTTGTCCAGTAGCAGAAGAGGCTCAATGTTTCAGAGTACAATTTTATGAGTAAAACTCAATTATACAATATGAGCTGAGAACATTTTGAAATTACTTCTCCATTGGAAAATAACTGTGTGTTAATTTCTTCATCTGTATGGTGT